AAGAAAGAACACAGGATAATATGTTTTGAAATCCATAGCTTTCCTTTTATATCATCATAAGTCATTAAAAAATCAAATGGAAAAAAGTCTCATTCACAATATTTTAAAAATAAGACTTACTCTTTGGCACTAAATCTTTTTTTTTTTTTTTTTGAGGCAAGAGTACAGATTTGCAATTTTTTTTTAATCTTTGAAGTACTAATATATAAATAAAGGTTTGTGAAAGTTGCAGATACCAGGATGAAATCACTTTTTGTCACACATAAAACTGAGCCAGGAGAGCACGAAGGAGTAGGGTTCATGATTGCATGGCAGAGATAAAAGACATTTTAGAAAGTCCTGTCTTGGCTGGGCGCAGCACTTTGGGAGGCCGAGGCGAGTGGATCACAAGATCAGGAGTTCAAGACCAGCCTGGCCAACACGGTGAAACCACATCTCCACTAAAAATACAAAAATTAGCTGGGCATGGTGGCACGCACCTATAATCCCAGCCACTTGGGAGGCTGAGGCAGGAGAATCACTTGAACTCGGGAGGCAGAGGTTGCAGTGAGCCGAGATCGAGCCACTGCAATCCAGCCTAGGTGACAAAGTAAGACGCCATCTCAAAAAAAAAAAACTTTCTAAAATAAGAAATTCTGTAAACTGCAGCAATTCAGATAAAATGTTCTCAAAACAACACCTGCCCAGTAACGGCATCTCCTCCTCTAAAATGACACCAAGTCTGACTTTGAATATCCAAAACCAATGTCTGTTTCCAAGCAGCTTATGTGAACTCCTTTTGCCAATAAAAGTTTCCCTTCATCCTCCCTTCTTCAGATGCATCTGTAGCTTGCCATAGCTGTGCATCTCAGGTTATAATCCTCTTTTCTAATTCCCTAATAAATTCAACACATTTGGAGATTTTTTTCTCTGATTTTTTTTTGCCTTACAGGTTTTTGGTTGACAAGTTTCAGTAGAGAGCTCACCGTATCTACTCTACTATAGATACACAAATGTGTAATCACAAAATTATGTAAAGAAAATTACATAATGTGTAATCACAAAATCATGTAAAGAAAAAACTTGAAACAAAGAAAAAACAAAATTTTGAAGGTTGGTGTTTTGAAGGTTTCAACACAGAACCAGTTGATGTAGATATTCTTAGGAACATTAAATCATAAGATAATCTATGGACAACATGCTAAAAATCTTTTTATATTTCAGTAATTATGTTGCCAAAGAACCCTGCTATTAAACCATCCTTACCAGAACTGAAATTGACTTATTTATATTTATAATACGTTTTATATATTTGATTAACATTGATTTTGCACTTTTATTTCAAATAATAAAAATAGCTGGGAGTGGTGGCTCACACCTATAATGCTGGCACTTTGGGAGGCTGAGAAGGGTGGATCACCTGAGGGCAGGAGTTCAAGACCAGCCTGACCAACATGGTGAAACCCCATCTCTACTAAAAATACAAAAATTAGCTTGGTGTGGTGGCACGCACCTGTAATCCCAGCTACTCAGGAGGCTGAGGTGGGAAAATCACTTGAACCTCAGAGGCGGAGGTTGCAGTGAGCCGAGGTCACGCCATTGTACTCCAGCCTGGGCAACAGAGTAAGACTCTGTCTCAAAAAAAAAAAAAAAAGAAAAAGAAAAAAGAAAGAAAATAAATAAATAAATAAATAAATAAAGTCACGTTTCAGGATTCAATATCTTTTCCTTTTTTTTTTTTTTGAGACAAAGTCTCGCTCTGCTGCTCAGGCTGGAGTGCAATGGCACGATCTCAACTCACTGCCACCTCCACCTCCCAGGTTCAAGTGATTCTTCCACCTTAATGTCCCGAGTAACTGGGACCACCATCCCCAGCTAATTTTTTGTATTTATAGTAGAGACTGGGATTCCCCAAGGTGGCCAGGTTGGTCTTGAACTCCTGATCTCAAGTGATCTGCCCACCTTGGCTTCCCAAAGTGCTGGGATTACAGGCGTCAGCCACTATTCAATGTCTTTATTCGTTGTTTCAGTATCTAGCGGCAAATTTGGGGAAGAGAACGTTAGAATCCTTGGTTCAAAATATCTGAAAAGAAAGACCTATTATAGAATAGCCTTATTAAAGTCTCTTCTAACTGGAAAGATCCTTGACAGTTTGCATCATCACAGAAAATGAGGAGCTACATATACAGCATTAACCTTGAGAAAATTCAGATTCAGTCCTGCTTCAGTATTGAACTAAACCAGGTTATCTGCACAAGTAAAATGTCTTAAAACCTTATAAATCTTTTATATCAGGGTAAGCACCCATTTGAAAAATTAAAATAAGGAAAATAATATTACCTAAGATGAATTATCATGATTAACATTAAAAATTTAGAATTTGCAAGGAAGTGGAATAATTAGTTTTCTAATTAAAAGATAATTAAGGACAGGTTTCTCCACATACACACAAAAATTTCCCTAAAGCTTTATAAAGATTTAACTAACTAATGAGGTAGAGAAGTAATTTATGTGCCCATTAAAAAATACTCAATCTCTGAATGTTAGTCCAAAATTAACTTGTCAGGTCATTAAATCATTGGCTAGAAATGTGTTGGGTACCTATTATGTACTTGGCACTTAGATCATTGTGAGACAATAAAAAATACTGCATTAGAAAAGGACATTTTTCACATCTTAAATGTAATAAGCATTATTTGGCTGGCAATTAATTACATTTAACACATTCAGCATATAGCGCAAAATAGCAATCAAAGTAATTATTCCCTTGAGCAATCGATTGTTCAAATTCCTTTTGATATTCCCTTAAGTTTATTTCTACTCTGGGATTCTTCCGTAGTTCTCAAATAAGAAAACAAAAGAATTCTAAATTAGACAATACAAAAGAATAGAAATGTAAGAGATGTATTAGCTATTGAATCCTCGTTTCCATTTGCTCTCAATAGTGCCTCTAATGTTCGATTTTCTCTTCAAAGAAAAATCTAGATTAAAAAGTACAATCACCTTTAAATCTAAAGTACACTGATTAGCATCTACTAAAGTTAGCTAAGACTGAAACTGAAAAAAAATTGTAAAATAAATCTTTATTCTATGTTATATAATGCCATTCACCATATAATGATTTTATACTTTTGTATATGGCTTTTTAAAATAAATACTACCAACAGGTACAATTTTTTCCTTTCCTGTCTTAAGACAGTCCTAAGAGAATTTTTACCAAATGTGTCTGTTCATAACTTGAATGTTAATTTAAAGCAATGTTACTTCTATCACCTAAATGATATACTTATAGAAGAGTGATTTAACTGGGAACAGAAAAATGACACATTGCTTCTTCCTAAGAAAAAAGGATGCTTTCCATTCTTGAGGTCTCTCTCCCACTCTCTCTCTATTTATATATAATATACTGCATAGATAAATATACACACACGTACGTATGTATTTTTTCAAACTTGAAGACTGAACATATGTATTTATATGTATATATCCAACGAATGTTTAATTTTGCAATCTCTCTTCCTCTCCTGATTTATTATTCTCGGTATGGTTCTCAAACTGTACAGTCTTTCACATTTCATTCATTCATCAAGCATGTATTGAGTCCCTTCTGCCTGCTTAGCTTTATGTCAGATGGAAGGAAAATACAAAAGAAAAACTGTCTCTGCCCTTCAGAATCTTTCCATCTCTTCTAGAAGATAAAACACCATATATCATTGAGCAATTTATAAGACTACTGCCAAAACCAATGGTACAAGTAACATGCCTTTGACATTTATGTAGAATTTTAGAGCTTGGAAACACTTCCATGATATTTAATCCTAAGAACGATCTTGTGAAGTACACATTATTAGCTCCATTTCCGTGATGAGGAATCTGAGACAGAATTTTAAGTGACATGCCTCATTCAAATATTATGAGTGGAAGAGTCAAGACTTCAGCCTGAGTTTTCTGATTCTAAGCCCAGTGTTCAACACAGCACAGGAAACCAAAGATTGATGTACACAACAGGGCAACAGCCAGTCTTCTGCTCGAGGTCCAACTAAACTGGACCCACACCTGAGCAGTGTCCAGCCAAATGTCCAAATTAATTTTATCCTGCAAATATTTGTTCTTCAGTGTAATACACACAGCATAACTACCATTTCCTTCGTATTAGTGCCTTTATCTCCTACATTCCAGAAATGAGGATGTCAAATAATTTTTTAAAAATCTGGCCTAGACGGAATCATATAAACCTTAAATCATAATATAAATCTTAAAGGTCTGATTTCCACTAATCCTACACATTTCCCCCAGCACTAGAGAGCCTAACTTACCCTCACCCTTTTCGAGCATTCTTGCTCCAAACAACCACCTATTTTAAGACGCCAATGACCCTTTCTACAAATTCACCCCAGTTTTGCCACCCGACCCCAGCGCCTGCCAGGACACCTTCCCCTCCCTCTCAATGGATACGATACCGAGTTCAGGTTCTGCAGATCCCGTCGCGATGCTGTCACACAGCACTGACAGATAAGATTTGACCTTTCGACTCCGTCCTTGGGGACCTCCCGCTGGACAAGTAGGGTAGTTCCAACCCCAGGAAACGGGCTTCCTGCTCAGGAACGCAGCCCCTGGCAGCGCACAGTCCGAGGCAACGTCTTCGGCAATTAGAATGATGCTGGGCGCCCGGGTGTGCATCACTCCGCCTCATACTCCTGCCAACTGCAGGGGACTCGGTCCGGCAGCCAGTCCATCCCACCCACAGCCAAGTCCCAGCCAGCCGGAACTTATGCAGGACCCAGATGACAGGTCGTTGACGGTTGCAGCAAAAGCCAAGGCCACCCGCCGCTGCTGCCCATCGCCGCCAACCTCAGACCCCTCAGACTGGACCGGAGAAAAGCGTTTCTATGGGAACCCCCTGGGAATCACGTGACGCACTCGGACGACCAATCGCCTCTTACCTCTGCCCGCGGTCCGTCTTTCTGCCCGCCCTCTCGCCCCCGCCTCCTTCGCCCGGCCCCGCCCCTTTCCTGCGGAGAGCCCGGGCCTGCGCGCTGTGTCCTGCGCGCTCCCTCCCTCGCGCGCGCTCCCCGTGCAAGAGCCGGGGCGGCGTGGGAGGCTCCAGGAGAGCGTGAACCTGAGGAGGAAGAAGCGAGGCCGGCGCGCAGGCCCAGAACCGTCCGAGCCTCGGCTGCCGGCGACGCCCCAGAGCGGAAGAGGGAAGTGAATCAGGCGCCGGGCAGTGGGCTGCTGGGCTGGGCTTGCTGAGGTAGAGGCAGCAACAACAGGAGGCTTTTGCCGCTGGTCGGGATTGGGATGTCGAAGAACACAGTGTCGTCGGCCCGGTTCCGGAAGGTGGACGTGGATGAATATGACGAGAACAAGTTCGTGGACGAAGAAGATGGGGGCGACGGCCAGGCCGGGCCTGACGAGGGCGAGGTGGACTCCTGCCTGCGGCAATATCCTTGCATTTGCCGCCCTCCCCACCCCAGCCCATCCTGCTCTTCTTCGGGGACCCGGGCGCCTGCAGGATCCGCGGGGCACCGGCGAGGAGCTGCCCTCTCAACCCGCGGCGAAACCTGTTTCTTTGGGGTCTCCCGCTCTGCGAGGGCAGGGGGAGCTTCTGTTTCCCCCCACGGGCCGAGAGACGCGAGGGTCCCACTCTTGGAAGCCTGCCGTCCCCCGCGCGCTCTCCACGCCCCCAGATTCCTCAGGTTGCGCCCGAGTGCCTGCCTCGGCCACGGGCCCAGCGTGCCGCGCCCTCGCGGAGCAGGGGATGGCGGCCCGGGCTGGTGGGCAAGGCTAGTGCCGAGCGCTTAAGTTTTTCTTCCTAGAACTCTGTTTTCTGGGGTCACATTCTCTCCAGAAATCTCTGATTGTGGGGACCCGACGTCTCTCCTTAGTGTCTTTGTTTTTTTGTTGTGTTTTTCTTATTGGTAGCATTAGGTAGTTTATTCCTTGCCGGGGGGGAGGGGGGAGATGGAAAGGTTCGAAAATTGAGGCCTCCCGTGCTTTCAGCCCATTGACCTTTAGAAAAAAAAAGGCGAGGGGGGGATGAATACAAAAAATACAAAACTCTTAGAAGGAAGCTTGGAGCCTTTTACCTGCTAAGAAAAGGACAATGGAAAAAAAGACGGGGAACGCATGTGGAGAATCCTTGGAAATATTTAAAATAAACCCCAATGAATAAGAAGATGAGTCATTTGTATAAATCAGAATCATTTTTGTAATCCTAAAATTGATTCCATTTTAGTTAAAATATGGCTGTCAGTTCCTGGTTTCTGGTTTTTTTACATATTTGAATATTCATAAATTTGGATTCGCATTTGCATCACATCTTTTTTAGAACAATGTAAATGTTGCAAAAATCCGAGGTTGTAGTTTTAGAAAATCTCAGTTACTGGGTTTGTATGCATTTCTCTTGAGTGTATTCTTAAGGAAGACTCTCCTCAACAATGTCCTGTTAATTTATTTTGGGGAAATACGTGAGTGAAAATGTTTAATGGCAACTATATTCTTTTATAAAGGCACCTAAATACAGCGTTAAACATTTATCAATGTATAGGTATTGCTTTGATTGCCACAACTTTCACAATTAGCTGTTGCTCTTTTGCATTATTTAAATACTTAAGTGCTTGAGGGTCATAAAAAAATGGGCCAATCTATATAAGGCATGCTTCTCTAGAAATCCCTGCAGCTTATCAACCGGAGATTTTGTGTGTGTGAGACCTTTTTCTTCAGAAGATAAAGGGTAAACATTCTTCGTAAAAACATTATTTGTGATGGATAGATGGTGTTTTATGAAACCCCAATGTATTTTAGGTAATTTGTGGTGACTCTTAAATGTTACTGCTGTATCCCTATCAGTGGATCTGCTTTTTGATCAGTTCATCTTAAAATATAAAGATACTGTCTCTTCTTACTCTTACAAACAGCCAGGAAAGACAGCCCTAGTGGTGGGGTGCTGGAGATGGAGGAACAAGTGAACTCTGTGGTTTTCCTTTTAGGGGAATGGCTGTATATTCTGACAGTCTGATTGGCCTTCTGTTTCTCATGCTTGCTAACCCACTAGTGCTTTCAAAAAGAGTCTGAATTTAATAGGTATGGTCTAACACAGTTTGAATAACCTTTGTAAAATATGAGAGAAAATATCTAAAGCAAAAAATTAAGCTGCCACCTAAGGGTCATGTGAATTATTACATCTTCTGTGATACCTCTTTTCACAATATTGAGAGATTGCTAATGTGTATCATTCAGATGGCTAATCTGCCAGCATTTTCTACCAGCATTTTAGTTAATATAGAGTATAGTTCTAGTAAAAGTTTGGTCTTTATTTTTTCAGCTAGAATCATATGAAAAAACATTTTGGTTGATAATAGGTTATTTCATTTGGGGGACTAATAATTCTGATACATATCTTAAGATTTCATTAACACCACTCCACGTAATGTTTGCATATGTGTCTAACTGGGAAATGAAAGATTATCAAGGTATTCATTTGATAGTTAGAACCAGGGGCAAAAGTCTTTGCTTTATTAAAAAGAAATTCTAATGTTCTGTTTTGCTTTTGATATTTTGCCTTTGATTAACATCCTAGAAACCAGCACATTGAATATCCGGTATTGAACATGGTGACCAAAGTAATATTCTTTTTATATGTAAAGTCTTAAGAACCAGTGGTTATAATGCTTTCCTGGGGGGCCGTGCTTTTGTTGCTATACCCTTAACCTCCACCACAGGAAACATGACAGCTGCTCTACAGGCAGCTCTGAAGAACCCCCCTATCAACACCAAGAGTCAGGCAGTGAAGGTGAGTCACAGACACAACACAGCGATCTCTGCAGTATCTTATTCTTAGCAAACTCTTCTGCAGTTGCAAGAAAAAAAAAATCAGTATTTTTTACCTTTTTCTACCTTTGACATAGAAGAGCTTCTAATGTAGTTTGATAGACAAAAGTTTCACATGAAAAAGTAGCCGTGTAATGTAAAGTTACGATGATGCTGCATGGTAAGACACAGTAAGTTCAAATGATAGTGAAATCATTTGTGTGTGTTTTTAGAGAAGACCACTCAGGCTGAATTTGAACAAAGGCTTGAAAAACAACTAAAACCTTTACAAAAGTAAACAGATTGTAATTGCTTTTTAAAGATTTTTTTTAAACTGTACAAATACTAAATGTTTATTATAGAAAGCTCAGACATACGGAAAGGTTAAAAAGATAGTCCTCCATAGTCCCACCACCCAGAGATAAGTGACTACTTTTGGGCCTTGCTGTATTGTTACAGAGTTCCCTTTTGTTTTTTAAGAATGAAATTTTATAACCTGCTTTTTCGCTGTATGCAATGTACATGAGCTTTCCTTTGCAGTAAGTTTATTTCTATAGCATTTTTAACAGCTATATATGGCTAAGCTGAAGTGTATACATAACTAATCTTTTGTTATATATTTAGACTGTTTTTTTCTTGTTGTAAACAACTGAAATGAATATTTTTTGGTAAATTGTTGATTTCTCTCTTTCAATAAATGCATAGCCGTGAATTATTGAATCAAAGAATGCACTTTTTTTAAGGCTTTTGATACATGTGGTATTGCCAAATTGCCCTTCAGAACAGTTGTGCAACTTACATTCTCTGCAGTCTTTTACTAATTCTTAAGAACCTATTTACGTATTTATTTAAAATGATGCCCATAGCATCAACCCCATTGTCCATAGCTATTCATACATCCTAGGAGCTTCAAGAATCTCAGTTGAATAGTAGTAAGTAATAACTTAGGTAAATGCATAATAATTAGGCAACATCATGGGGAAAATTTCTTTGATTTTTACAAGTTGTAAAGAATGTCATTGAAATTTCATTTTTACCACCTTTTGCTTTTATGTGGGAGGTTATAATTCTGGTTGCAAAGATGTTTTTCTAACTCTGGTAATTGCATAGTCTTTAAACCAAAGATAACAGTAGGTGGTAGAAACATTCTGTGAAGTCCTGACTAGTAGGAATGCTGGAGGTATCACATTGTGTTGAATAGAAGGAGAAAGAATTGTTGAAAAGATCAGCTAAGTGTTCCCTTTGCTTGGCTGGATAGGTGAGAAAATAACTGCTTTTGAAGCAGGCTTTTGCCAAAGAAAAAAGATCGTTATGAAGGAACATCGTTATCTTTCATATCTATAGTCAATTCATATAAATTACAGCCAGTTTTTTTTTCAAGAAAACTTGGTTTATTAAAATTTTAAAGTTTTTAAGAAAACATTACTTCTGAAGGATAATTCAAGGTAGAACTGCAAATCCGCTTCCTTGTTTTTATGGGATTTTTTTTTTTCTTTTTGAGACAAGAGTCTCGCTCTGTTGTCCAGGTGGAGTGCAGTGGTGCAATCTCGGCTCACTACTACCTCTGCCTCTCGGGTTTAAGCGTTCCTCCTGCTTCAGCCTGGGATTACAGGAGCGTGCCACCAGGCCCAGCTAATTTTTGTATTTTTAGTAGAGACGGGATTTTGCCATGTTGGCCAGGCTGTTCAGGAGATCCACCCGTCTCAACCTTCCAAAGTGCTGGGATTACAGGAGTGAGCCACCGTGCCGGGCTGTCTTGTTGGGATTTTTTTTTTTTTTTTTTTTAAGATCAAGACATAAAATGTAAATGTTGTTTTCATGAATTGTTAAATTATCACACTGATCTGTTAGCAAATCCTCTCAGCTCTCCCTTCAATTATGTCAATAGTCTGTCTAGTTTTTAACCACCTTCACTGCTGCTGTGCTCACCACATCCAGCCTGTATTATTGCAGTTATCTCCTAGTTGCTCTTCTGCTTCTACCTTGTCCCCTACTCCCACAGCTTATTCTCTGTAACATAGATGCCAACGCAATCCTGTTAAAATGTGAGTCAGATTATGGCACTGCTCTTAAAAGCCCCCAATGCCTTCTCATTTCTCTCAGTAAAAGCCAAAGTCCTTACAATGCCTGTAGGCCTTACACAGTCTGCCCTCCCATAACCTCTGACTGGCTTGCCAGCTTTTCTCCCACCAATCCACTCCAACCACATTGGGTTTTTTTTCTATTCCTAGAACACACTGAACACACACTAATAGCGCTGGTCTTTCCACTGTCTGAAACACTTTCCTCAGTTATCCCAACCTTTCCTCTTTCACGTCTTTCAGGTTCTTACTCAAATGTCACCTTCTTAACGTGGCCTTTCTAAAATTGTAAACCCTCCTCATACAGATATGTCTAAATGGTTTGTTATTTATTTACCCACCAGGACCGGGCAGGCAGCATTGTCTTGAAGGTGCTCATCTCTTTTAAAGCTAATGATATTGAAAAGGCAGTTCAATCTCTGGACAAGAATGGTGTGGATCTCCTAATGAAGTATATTTATAAAGGATTTGAGAGCCCCTCTGATAATAGCAGTGCTATGTTACTGCAATGGCATGAAAAGGTAAGTTATGAATTACAAATCTATATGACTGGTTCTTTTACAATAGGGAATGACAGTAACAACCTCTTTCACCTAAATAACCATTTTGACTTAGTTGTACATTTTAGTTACTGCAAATAAAATGCATGAAAATTATAGTTAATATTTATGTTTACTAGGCTTAGTCTTCTCTTAAGAGATTCTGATTCCAATACTTGGGTTTATTCAGCAGTGATTATTAGTAATTAAACATAATCTTGAACTTTGAATTAAATCAAAACTTTGTAAAAGAAAATAATAAAAATCAAGAATTCTTTCACAGGGACCAAAAGGTGAAAACAACCCAAGGGTCATCAACAGACAAACAACTAAACCATGGTACATACAGTGGAATATGATCCAACTATAAAAATGAATGACACTCTGACACATGCTGTAACATGGGTGAACCCTGAAAACATACCAAGTGAAATGAGCCAAACACAAAAGAACAAATCTTATAAGTTTATTTACATGAAATTATCTAGGATCGGCAACACAAAAGTACAGAAAGTCCTTAGAGGTTACCAGGAAGTAGGGAAAGCAAAGAATAAAGAGTTAGTGCTTAATGGGTACAGAGTTTCCAAAGCTTGGAGTGGTAAAAAAAAGTTTTGGAAACAGGTAGTGGTGATTGCTACAGTACATTGTGAATGTAATTAATGCGACTGGATTTTACATTTAAAGATGGTTAAAATGGCAAATTTTGTGTTATATGTTTTACAACTTTTTTTTTTTTTTAAAGAATTAGGGGTTTGGAGGATTAAGAATTCTAAAATCATTTTTTTTTTATTTTCACACATATATTTTGCAGTGTAGACGTTGGTACACCATCTGTCAGAAAAAAGGAGTCGAAGGGATTTTGAGTTTTGGGTAAAAAATTGAATAACGTTTAAATAGAACCAACCATAAAAATATTGAGTGTTTGAAGTGTATGAGTGAAAACACACACGTAAGAAAAAAGTACATAGTAAAACTTGTTTATTCTTGGTCGAGTCACCTTATCCCTCATGCGCTATCAAAAAGAACTCCCATTTATGGATAGGGTAACCATTCCTCACAGTTTTCCCAGTATAGCCCCAGTTTATGCCTGTTGTCCCATCATAACTATAAGTAGTTACTCCTTTTACTCTAAAATGTACCAGTTTGGATAGTAATTTATATGGCATCCTATTCATGGAACATTTTCTGTTGCCAGGCACCATATTATTTATGTTTTATTTCATCTTTACAACAACCCTGTGAAGTATATAAATACTTTTATCCTCAATTTACAGATGAAGAGCCAGCTTTAAAACCCAGGCAGTTTAGTTCTAGTATAGCCTCAGGATTGTAGTGAACATTCATTGAGCGCTTAGTATATTCCAGATACTCTTCCAAAGACTTTATAAATGTTAACTCATTTAGTCCTCATAAAAATGGAGGGAAAACATTGATATTATTCTTCTTTGGTAGCTGAGGAAACTGAGACATGTGTTATCCTCATTTCTTCCAAATGTCAGTCACCAGTTTGTACGAATCTTCTAAGTATTTTTGAAATCTGTCTGTTCAAGTTTATCTAATGCAACTGTTCACAGCATCTCTCCCAGACTGTTGCTATAGCTTCCTGACTGGTTTCCCAGCCACCAGTTTTGTCTCCCTCAAATCTGTTCTCCATCCAGCCATCAGAATGATCTCTTTAATTGCTCTTGTCAGTCACCTGCAGGATAAAGTCAAAGTTCCCAAGTCTAGCCTCATCTTCCATGTCATTCTTCTCTTCAGACTATAGCAGTGCCAGCCTTTTTCCTGAATGCACCATATCGTTTCACACCTCCATACATTTGCTCATGATTTTCTGGTGTTAGCTTGTCACCTACTCATTCTTTTAATGTGTCATTTCCTCCAGGAAGCCTTAGCTGAAACATTCCTCTATACTGTTAATCTGGGTATATGCTTCTCCCTGGTGCTTTAATAACACCCAAAGTACAACTGTCTTTTCATACATTAGATTAAAATTGTCTGTTTATAGGTCTGTCTCCTTGTGCTAGACTAGAAAATGCTGTATTTGTTTACTTTTGTATCCCCAGCATCTGCCACAGTATGAGTATATATACAAAGGTATTCCATAAGTATTTTTTGAACAGAAATAAACCAGAGTTCAGATTCGTAATACGTGATCATTACTTTACATTTTTCAAATTAGAGTCAGAGTTAAAGTTTCTAAGTTCTTAGCTATTAAACAATACCTTCTTTCTTTGGGAGAAAACAATTTGACAGAGGCTGACCAATTGAAGTGCAAGTTGGGATGGGTTATCCCAGCTTGAATATTCCCCTGGCTGAGAATGAACGATTTGGAATTTCCACCTGTTTTGAGCAGGAACATTATGCTGCAGATTTTTTAAAACAATATTTATAATTAATACAGAAGAATGTAAACTAGTATCTCACTAGTATGTAAGCTCATGAAGGCAGGAACTTTTAAGGTTTTGTTTATTACTGTAACCCCAGTGCCAAGAATAGTACCTGGTGTGTTAATTGGTACTTAAGAATTTATTATTGTTAAATAATAAATTCAGGGTCTATAGCCATGCCCATTCCTTCTTCAAGAAAAATGTTTTACTTATGAGAATTGATCCTTTATGATTCTGTCAACATTTACATCTTGGTTTGTTTGTAGGCACTTGCTGCTGGAGGAGTAGGGTCCATTGTTCGTGTCTTGACTGCAAGAAAAACCGTGTAGTCTGGCAGGAAGTGGATATCTGCCTCAGGAGTGGGAATTGCTGGTACAAAGACCAAAACAACCAAATGCCACCGCTGCCCTGTGGGTAGCATCTGTTTCTCTCAGCTTTGCCTTCTTGCTTCCTTTTTCATATCTGTAAAGAAAATTACATATCAGTTTTCCTTCCATGAAAATTGGGATAATATAGAAGAAATTATGTTACAATAGAAGTGTTTCATCCTCTCAAAACCATTTCAGTGATGTTTATACCAATCTGTATATAGTATAATTTACATTCAAATTTAATTGTGCAATTTTTAACCCTTATTGGCTGGTTTTTTATTTTGTTTTGTATTATTTTTAATTAATACTGAGAGATTTGGTCAAAATTTGAGGCCAGTTTCCTAGCTCATTGCTAGTCAGGAAATGATATTTATAAAAAAAATATGAGAGACTGGCAGCTATTAACATTGCAAAACTGGACCATACTTCCCTTATTTAAGCAAAATATGTTTTTGGAATAAGTGGTGGGTGAACACCACTACCAAGTTGTAGCTTTGTTTTTGCTTGCCTCCAGATTATCTGTACTGTGGGTTTAAGTATGCTACTTTCCCTCAGCATCCAATAAGCATGGCCTCTCAGTTTCTTTGTGGTCACCCAGGGTTTAGAGCAAGAAGTCTTGCTCTATACAAATGTATCTATAAAATATCAGAGCTTGTTGGACATAAACATCAGACTTTTGTTCCAGTAATATGGCTCTGCTTGGAAAAACTGCAAATCAGAAAGAATGTGGAAACTATGATGTAATTCACACTCTGGGCAGCCTCTGAATGAAATGCTACTTTCCTTAGAAATATAAAACTGCCTTAGACATTATGAGGTATATGTCTAAGTATTTAAGATACCATTTAATATGCCCCATAAATGTGTTCAGTGTTCTTCAGGGTAATTGGGATCTCAAAAGATTTGGTTCAGATCCAAACAAATACACATTTTGTGTTTTAGCTCAGTGTTTTTTAAAAAAAGAAACTGCCACACAGCAAAAAATTGTTTACTTTGTTAGACAAACCAAATCAGTCCTCAAAAAAATGACCGGTGCTTATAAAAAGTTATCATTCTCCAGTAGCTCCAAAACAAACCACCTGACCAAGAGGGAAATCAGCCTGTGATTAGTATTTACATTGGACACCAGCTTTGTCATCACTGACTTATGTGAAAACTGGTGCAGAAATTCTATAAACTCTTTGCTGTTTTTGATACCTGCTTTTTGTTTTGTTTTGTTTTGTTTTGTTTTGTTTTGTTTTGTTTTGTAAAAATGATAAACTTCAGAAAATAAAATGTCAGTGTTGAATAATTTATTTTTCTCTGACTCTTAACGCTTATGAATGTGTGGTTAATTAAGAAGAAAGGTGGGCCAGGCACGGTGGCTCACGCCTGTAATCCCAGCACTTTGGGAGGCCTAGGCGGGTGGATCACGAGGTCAAGAGATCGAGACCATCCTGGTCAACATGGTGAAACCCCGTCTCTACTAAAAATACAAAAAATTAGCTAGGCATGGTGGCGCTCTCCTGTAGCCTCAGCTACTCGGAGGCTGAGGTGGGAGAATTGCTTGAACCCAGGAGGCGGAGGTTGTAGTGAGCTGAGATCGTGCCGTTGCACTCCAGCCTGGGTAATGAGCGAAACTCCGTCTCAAAAAAAAAAATGTTAGAGGAAAGGTTTCCTGCTTCTCCACCAAGTACTGTACTCTTAACAAGAACTAATTTGGTAGGATTTTTATAAGACAATACAGATATAAGATGATAGAGAAGAGAGTCACTAATGATGTCAGCACTACTGAAGCCTTTGGAGGCATTCCATAGTCCTATGGATGGCAGTTGAACACCTTATGTAATATCACTGCCCAAAGACCTAGACTAGAAAGTGCAAAGTAGCCTAGCAGCTGCAGTCATTCATTCCCAGCTTCTAAACATCTCTTTCCTACACCTTAAATCCATTTCTTGGAGTTACCTACTCACAGCAACTTCTGTTTGCTTTCCAGGTGCACCTGACTAGATTCCCACTTTAAAACACTTTCAGGCAATTCAGGGCCCTGTGGGTGAAGATGAGCTAAGCAATAGGTATTATTTTTAAATTTTACTTAGAGACGAGGACTTGCTATGCTGCCCAGGTTGGAGTGTAGTGGCTGTTCACAGTCGTGATCATAGTGCACTGAAGCCTCAAACTCCTGGCTTCAAGCAGTCCTCTGTCTCAGCCTTCTGATTAGCTGGAACTATAGGCACATGCCACTGTGCCTTATCCAATAGGTATTAGAGGTAGTCAAGTAGGTATAGCATAACCAATTACAAACTTTAAAATCAAAGCAAAAATGATACTGAATGCTTTTTCATAAAATCCTTCTTAACATTGCTTTCATAACTGAAGCATTTGGGAAAATTCTGGAGTTCCATATTCTGTGTTCACAGGAATGGGTGTCTTTAGAATCTGCCAGTCTATCATCTTTACTAAGAGGAGAGAGTAAAAATATTTAACAAGTAGCACAATCTTGACTAAATGTCAGCCCAGGGTATAGTAACCATGACACAATACTTCCTTGGTGAAAAGAGTTGGGAATAGGATTAACTGTGGAAATATATATATATATATATAAATGCCAAGGGACACTTTTAGCACAAAAGTAGTTCTTTACCTCCCATTCTTTCCTCATTAATCTCATTGGTTTTATTATTTGGTTTTTTTCTTGCCATTTTACAAAGGGGAAGAAATGGAAAACATACCCTTTTTTAGTCATTAGGTAGCAGCACCATTTAGGTAACAGTCATACTCGACCCCAGTATGATGATATTTTAAGGACATGAACATGGGTGAAATCAATGTGTAGATGGTACAACTTAACCAAATTCTTTGTAAAGCATTTACTGTGATCCCCAGGATTGTGAGGACATAACAGAAGAATAAGGTCTGAACCTTGGTCACCAGTTTGCTATCAGCCTAATTGGGAAGTAAGATTAAGCATTTGAAAACGTCATACAATTTAGCATTTGGCTGTAAATGCAGTTGGTCAATGTTGGGAGAACAATAAAATCAGGGTGGACCAGAGTATTTAAAGTCAGACATTAATCTGAGCTAATCATTTGGAAGGGCAGAAAGGACTAACAGTCCAAGTAACATGAACAGAGTAGAAAGATAAAAGTGACTTTAATAGTCACCGTTCTTGGAGTTTTAATGTTTTTAACATCAAATTCTAGATGGTGTGAATTTTTAACAGGGTCAGGCTTTCATAAGCTATCTCCGTAGTAGATTGAAGAAAGACAATCATGGGAAATCATAATTTTTTATTATCTGAAATAGACATTGACGGTCATTAAGTTTCACCCCATGTATAACGGTAAAAAGAATGGGAAAATTTTGTTAAAAGGAAGACATTTTAAATTAATGATAAAGTAGTTATTTAAAATAGGATGGATAATTATGGCTATTGTTTTCATTTAATTATTTTTGATCATTTATTACAATTGTAAATTATGTTTACTAGTGTTCACTTAAAAGTAATTTGTTAATATTGAAACATCAGTAGTCTATCCCAGGTCCATGTGGCCCAGAGTTAAGTCTATATGAAAGGTAACGAAGATAGAATACAAATAGCAGGACACAAGTCATAGTATCCCCAGCATGTGGTATTTATATGGTTTTTAATTTTTCAAAGCAAGATTCTGAAGTAGATTAAAACACAAAAGCTACCCTATATTGAGTCCTTACTATGTCTCAATCTCATTATATGTTTATCTCCAGAACTGAGGCTAAGAGAATATATATAATCTGCCCAAGATCAGATAGTTCGTAGGTGCCAGAACCAGGATTTCGAGTCACATCTGCTTGACTCCAGAGTTATATCACACTTCTTTCTCAAGTCTGGAGCTTGGAGAATAAAAAAGTTTCTAAAAGAGATGAAGTTTTTTTTTTTTTTTTTCCTAGAAATTCCAAACCTTGGTACTTGGGTGATACTGTGGAGAGGTAAAATCAACTCAGGAGGCAATTATAGAGGCAAACGCTGACAGATGTAGGCATCAAAAGAAAGATTTGAAGAGGTTCCACAGCACACAGAGCAGAGCTACTTTTTCACCATGAGTTTTGCCTGTATTTTGATGATTTTTTAAATCTATTAGAAATAGTAGGTAAAGAGCAAGACGTGAGAAAACTGCATGCTTTAAGAAGTTCAAACCCTCAGTTACTTTTTTCTAGTGGTGGTGTGTTATTGTGGATAATTGACCTCTAATCTCATTTTTAATGCATTCCCTGTTGGTTCTATGTTTTTGTAGATAATGTATTTTGAATAATAAACTATTTTAATTAAGTTTGTCATAATTCCATTTAGCAAGAACCAGTGCTACAATCTCATTTCTTTAGCCAAGCTCAACAGAGAATTGTTCATAACTAAAACTCGTGGGCTTAATTGAATTCCCAAGAAACACTCTGGCCTACCTTACTTCGTTGTAATTGCCTGGGGCTCCATTTTGGAGGCACTCCAAATTCGAAGTTATTTCTGTCCACCCTGCTGGAAAGCCCTCATATTCCGATATCAATGTCAGTTGAAAATAAGTTTTGGGCCAGGCGTGGTGGCTTATGCCTGTAATCTCAGCATTTTTGAGAGGCCAAGGTGGGCGGATCATGAGGTCAGGAAATCGAGATCATCCTGGCTAACACGGCAAAACCCTGTCTCTACTAAAAATATAAAAAGCCAGGTGTGGTGGCGGGCCCCTGTAGTTCCAGCTACTCAGGATGCTGAGGCAGGAGAATCTCTTCAACCCTGGAGGTGGAGGTTGCAGTGAGCCGAGATCGCACCACTGCACTCCAGCCTGGGAGATAAAGTGAGACTCCATCTCGAAAAAAAGAAAAGACAAGAAGAAAATAAGTTTTGCATGGGAAATGGGAGATCCCTGAGCTAACTCTGGGCTTGAGAAAAACAGGATCAAAATCACAGACCTGCGTGGATGAGGGACCAAAACACCATTCACCAGGCATCAACCCACCAGCAAATATTTATTTATGATTTTTGTGCATGGCACTGTTGCAGGTCGACTAGGCTTTGGTTGGGTCTGTACAGGATTGGATCAGTTCTAATTTTCTCAACTCTTTCTACTTCTTGTGTTCAGGTGCCTTGTATCCTTTATTTTCCCTAATTTTTCTCTTTGTTCTTTTCTCTCTCTTCAGTCCATGCATCTGCTGCCTTCCCTCTCTTTTTCTGTCTCTACTCCCCTGGCCTCATTTTTCCCGTTATTTCATGCTCATGCCTACGCTCTTAGAGCCATTTCTACTAATTAAATATGTTCTGCTTAAGCAGCAGGTTTAAACAATGCCTTCCCACAATTCAACTGACTTTTAAATTGCCTTTAAACTGTGTGACTACTGATTTTTACTTCCATAGGTTGCTTTGGCCAGCAATTGAGAAAATAACCTAAAATCTAAGCTTGACCAATTTTTTTGTTGTTGTTTTTTTGAGATGAAGTCTTACTTTGTCACCCAGAATGGAGTGCAATGGCATGATCTTGGCTCGCTGCAACCTCTGCCTCCTGGGTTCAAGCGATTCTCCTGCCTCAGCCTCCTGAGTAGCTGGGGTTGCAGGCACCTGCCACCATGCCCAGCTAATATTTCTATTTTTAGTACAGACAGTGTTTCACCATGTTGGACAGGCTGGTCTGGAACTCATGACCTCAAGTGATCTGCCTGCCTCAGCCTCCCAAAGTGCTGGGATTACAGGTGGGAGCCACTGCATCCAGCCGGACTGACTAATTTTTAGATACACGGTTTTTCCTTTGGATTTACAAACAATGTCACTTTACAGACAAAATATTTTAAAAGCACCAAAAAAATTGACAGACACACCCAATTAAGAAACAGACCAGTGGTCTCTGTAGAACTGAGTACCCTAAAACAAGGCTTCTCCTGTCCATATTCCTGCCTTGGGACCTCTGCCCCACTGCCTGTCCACCTCAGCCCAATGTCACTAATGCAATATGTGAAAACCGCAGTGTCAAAACGTTCTGTGCGGGTGCCTCTTGTGCAATTCCAGATACGGAGGAGGCTGGGGGAGCCCACAGAGGTACAGCATGCCATCTGCCTCAAGGTGGTGCTACTTCACCGCATTGAGGATCCAACCACAAGCAATGTGGGAGACAGCATTCACTTTAACGTTTCTGTTTTCCTTTATCATTTTTGTTACTTGAGCGTATAAGAGTAATAAACATAAATGAACTATGTTTACATTTCTTATTCCTCTCTGAAACAGAATCCACAGAATCCCTAGAATCCCTAGATTGCACAGAATCCCTAGAATCCACACCACATGAAACACACACT